CCAAAAAATGGCGTCATGCGAAAGGGCATAACTTTAGTCTACACAACTACCTCAGAGAAGACTCACGCAACTCTCCCAAATACTCCGCATGGTGAAATGTTTTACATTTTCCCATTGCTTATGATGGAAACGGCATATGATTGGATTAGGTCCAAAACTCTGACAGCTAAATGACACGCACGGAGACTATTATGGTCCGGCAAACCGAATGCAGTGACTGTTTCGGCCTGAGGGCCGAAACAAAAAGGGATAATATTACCAGACGAGACCTCAAATGTCACCTAATGTCCCAAGGGGTTCTCGTTATGACGTAATAACTTCGTCATAGCAAATATTTTAGGCTGGTTACTTCCGCCACAGATATTTTTAGCTAAAATTTCTGGCTTCAATGGAATCTGGCTTGCGTAGGGAAGTTGCTTCTAACCACTGTGGTCAAGGGTCGGTCCTCAGACTCGCAATCATATGTGAACCAAGTTGCTTTTTGGTTCTCTCCTGTGCTTCGAGGGTTTTATCTGGTTCTTCACTCGGTTTTCCTTCCTCCTCATAAAAATATTTAAATTCTAATTTCGTTTTCAGGGAACTTGTCAATAGACCGATCCCGGCTCTGCTTGAGCACCAGCCAAAATATGGGTAGTTTTTCTAATGGAATACAGAATGTCCAACCAACAAACTCTAATTCATAAGACTCGTTTTCTTTTTCTTTTTTGCTTCTTGGGCTTCCTGTCTCCACTCCTCCTCCTTTCTCGTTCCTAGTTCTTCTCTGACATAAAACTTAACACAGGGATCCCAAAAGAGAATATATGGGGGTAGTCAAGTCTGTAAAATGAAAGTCCCTTGCCTCGATGTTTGAAATTTTAGACAATTTCCGATGTCATTGTTATGGCATGGCAAGACCTGTGGTAGGCATCCCTATTAACCCGTACATTAGAGACTTTCGGGAATAATAGTACACGCTGTGTCAACTAAAGTCTTGTATCCTAAATAACAGTTCAAGACGGGGCCCGTTGAGTGGGTCCAATCTTATGATAGATCACACAGCGAAAATGATGTTAAGGTCAGTGACCTGTATATATCTTTTGGAGTCTAGTTAGCGTTGTCAGTGCTCACCGATAGAAAAGTTAACAATTTCCTTTCGTTCCTTCGTTAGTCGGAATGTCGTCAGTGTCAGTTATCCCCGGGCAATTATACGTGTACGGTCCGCGATATGACCTGTATCTTTTGGATTGAGTCTAGTTAGCGTTGTCAGTGTTAACCGTGGATAGAAAAGTTTGCGATTTCCTATCGTTCCTTCGTTGGTCGGAATATTATCTCGATTATAAGTACGGTCGCTTACTTTGCTGGTCGGTCTTTACTAGTAGTGTAGTAGTATCTTTGGTGGTCGACTTATAACAGGCTCGCTATCATTTGAATGGTTGCTTTTGAAAGGTGCACGGTCTACTAGATTGTCCAAGGTGGTCGATGAGAGGTGGTCGGACGACGGCTCACCTAATAACAATAATGATATTAAATAATGACGAAATGTAATGATAGCCATAGTATTATTATACGTAATTTTTATCTACATGCTAATCAGTATTAATAATAATATTAATATGAATAAAATGACAACACAATATAAGCTTAAGGATGGAGAAATCATTCCTGACAAGTACTCTTATAAATTCACAGCCAAACTGTAGTAAAATATTCACATTATGAGAGCACCACAGGTATGGCAGTTATAAATAGCCCGTCTGTTGACGCCTTAGTTTAAGATCGCTTATTTCAGTCGCATATCAGGTTATCAAAGTACTTTGACGTAGTTGGATTCCGTTACAAGGAAATATCCGATTGCCATCAGGGCACGTCCACTAAAATCCCATGACAAACAGTGATTTGAATCCGTCAAGCACACACAAAGTTAACATGCCTTGCTCTGCATACTTTGGAAGGTGATTCATTGTTTAAGGTCCATTAATCCAGTACAAAAGAGCTGACAATTTAATGATCGCTTTGGTACGCCTCGACTATTGACAACAACTTGGTTGAATTATCTCGCACCGGGGTCGTAATCACAAAGGAATCATTTCTGCAGAGCGAGCGAGCAGTTTCGTCATTAGACAGTACAGAAGAGATTTTGAAATTAATTTTTCTCAAGAAGAACTTAAATTTCAATAGAAAAGATGAATTTTTCGAGAGTAAGCTCGCGATTTTTTCCTTCTCGTCGGAGAGGTCTTCGTCGAAGATCGAGTATGTACGAACTCTCAAGAACAACGGTAAGTTCCGACTTGGTAATATTTCTGAATATCAATCAAAACTTGTCCGAAATAGAATCAACGAAAACTCTTTTTTCTTCTCTTATTTGTGAAGCAGAAATAGTATGCTTATTGTTAGAGGTTCTTGACTCTTGGCTGCTTATAGAGTTTAAATAATRTTGTTTTGGTGAATTGGGTCAAATTTATTTTAAATGCTCACTGTATTCAGACTCTGCGAAAAAGCCTTTGACCCTCTTGAGCGAGTACTAAGAAACTCAACACATATCTGAATTTTTCCACGTACTCATCAACATTTTACAAAACTCGTACGATGTTTGTACAAGTCAAAAAGTTTTCTTGACACTTTTGACTTTGGGATTAAATTTGAGTTGGAGTTCATACGGGGGGTAATTCGAGATAATGATATCTGACAATGCACACGATACAAGACAATAGCATTGCGAGCATCAGAAAACCCCATGTTGTGTTTCAAATACTTTTAATTATTGAGGTTTCTAATGCAGTTTTCCGCTTTCCTATGTCTATGAAAATTAAAATGTTTTGGTGCTGTAGACTAAGCTTTCAAGTCTGTATTTTCTCGTTGTGACACACGTAAACGCAAAGGTCTTTAAAAAGTTCAAAGTCAATTGTACTTTGTCCTCCTCTTAGTTTGAGTAGTTAAAAAAGATGCAAGATACAAGTTTATTTGCTCATGATTTCAAAATTTTGATACAAAATTATCGAAAGAGACATATAACGATCATTACAATTAGTAAAAAGAGAGGGAAAATAAGTTTACAAATAAACTATAAAGGGGAAATAAATTATTATCGTAAAAATGGCTGTTATGCATTCACATTGAAATAAATTATTTCAGAATATTTTCAATCGAATTCTGATTCCGAAGGAGAAAATAGAAGGCTTCGACATAAAACAGGCACTAGCAATACAATCAGAGTCTTTAGTAATGGGTTTAACAAAACGTGACATCTACGTGACACGTGCGTGACGATGTGTTACTCGTGTGACGAATAGAATTTTTACTTTCCTCAGCGTCATGAGTCAGTATTTTTTAACCAAAAACCCAAGGCGTCTGGGGCTGTGGTAGGAAGAAACGTGAATATGTTCGTAAATGAAACGTTAAATAGAGTAATATCGATGTTGGTGACCGACGGGATGACGTCACGAAATCATTTCCTGTATGTGAAAATAAGATAGTGTGAAATTTCAGAGCAATAGAGCAAAAAGGATGAGATGTTGGGAACTTGTTCTGATTTGTGAAGTACTCGGTTTCCCATCGTGCTTTGTGCTAGAGATTCGTGCTCGTGCACATTGACTATTAGAGATTTTCGGTTTTTTAAGGAGGCTCGAAACGGTTTTTCTTGAGCGCGCGCGCGCTCTTGGTCCGATGACGTAGAACTTGCAAAAGGAAAATTTTCGTAGTCATAAATTTTAATGTTCAAACTGAAAAAACTCAAAAATTCTGCGGTGAAATTTCTTCAAATTTTGCATAGGGCTTTAATTTATGTTTTCAAAAACTTAAGGAAAATTTTAAAAAATTCTGTAAGAGGGAACTATTCCAAACAAATTTTATTGACTTTTGCGAATTCCCTTTTACAACTTTGTTTCTTTCTTTTTTTTTCTTTTCTTTTTTTTGTCAAAAAGAAGATTACGATACAAAGTTTAAATATTCCGGTTTTTAAAAAAATTCACCATTCGGATTTTGAGTTATGATTTTAAATAAACATTTTTGATGGCATACCAAGGGTTCTGAGGTTGTCATGGCAACGTCTTACGTCAATTTTTCATGTTCATTGTGATCTTTGGTTTATAGTCTTTGGCTTTCCTGGTTTACTTGCTGTCATATTATAGTCATATTAATTTTTTTTAGTTCATAATGTGAAGGCACAAAACCCTTTCCAGCCTCCTTAAGTCGTATCATTTTGTTAACGTTGTTGTTGATGTTGTTTCACAGCAATCTATGGATTTGTCAATCTCGGGTCGAGTGAGCGTGCGTCCAATCCACCCCAGCATCCTCCACAAACAGTTCTGCTTTCAAGTCATGTCTCCACATGAGATCAAGTACTTTTCTTGTCGAAGCGCAGATGAGCTTAACAAATGGATAAATAGGTTAGTTACAAATTTATATAGTATAAATGTAGTGTCTCAATCTAGCTTTCACTTCTATTCCATCCTCGCTTTTCTTCTTTCCTACACTCTCTCCTTCCCTCTTTCAACCATTTTTCATTTCTTCCATTCCTTTTTTCCTTCGTTTCGTCTTTAGCTTGAATGTTTTGTTTCCCCTATTTCAGACCACGTTTCATTTCTTTGAGAATAGGATTCTTTGATTCATTTGCATCCAAAAATAAGAAATGATACTCAATAGAATAACACGTGGTCTGAAATGGGCAAAACATTACGCCCGAGCTCAAGAGGTCTCTAGACCTCCTCGGCTCGGGCGTAAAATGGTTTCCCATTTAAAACCACGTGTCATTCCCTTGAAAATAAGGTTCTTCGTTTGAGTTGTATCCATATCCACGTGTCTTCTCATGGGCAACCGAGCGCAACTGCTAAAAAAGAAATGATACTCTAGAGAATGACACGTAATCTAAAAAGGGAGAATATTACGCCCGAGCCGAGGAGGTCTATTCGCTTACCCTGTCCGCGTATTCGTGTCTAACATACGTTTAGCATCAAGAAGTCCATTCAGCCAACTCGTGACCAGCAGCATAGAATCGATGTTGGAATGAGTGTCTGGGTCGTGGAAGCAAAAGGCTTGTCTACTAAATCAAAGAAGAGGTAAAATCACTAAGAATAAAAAGATTCATTTGTACAGGTTTAGTGTCAAATTAAAGTGCTTATAAGCCTTTGCACAAT